CGGCGGCTTCGCTGGCGGCGGTTCGTCTTCGTCCGCGCAGCGTAGACACTTACGGGCCGTTCGGCATGTGCATGCCGTCAAAACTGTTCGTCGCCGCCTACCCACCATAACTTTCACCGAGGCCGACTTCAAAGGTATCGACCCATACCAGGATGATCCTATGGTAATTAGCATTGAAATTCATAACTGCATTGTGCGCAAGACATTGTTAGATCAAGGGAGCTCCGCTGATATCCTTTATTGGAACACGTTCAAGATCGGCTCTCACCGGTTCAATGACCGGTCCGGTTTTTAAAACACTGGCTCCAACAGTCTAATTGTCCCAAAATTATGCTATTTTCATTTGCAATATTTCTCATAAATAAGGAAACCTATTTATTTTACCTCTAGAATAAATATGAAAAAATGAGCGAAAATCAACATAAGATATGTTAACATGATTTACATGAGATAAAAACTATTGTACTCTTCCATGATAAAATATGTAAAATGAGTCTTTATCACTTACCATATATAAATATCTTTAATATCTTAAATAAGTGTGTAGGTTTGTTTAGTTCATATTTAATTTTTTCCCCTAATATTCAACATTTTGTTGATATTTATTTAAGGAGTTTAATCATATTAACAATTATCTATTATTTGGTGGAATTCACATTTGTTGCACTAAATTGCAAATAAAAAGTACTTGAATAAGAGAGACTTGCATATCTAAGGTAACTAATTTATCCATCAAAATTATAATGAAGTAACTAAAATTAGAAATTAAAATTATGTGCATATTACACCAACCTTCCACCACTAGATTGGTTCTAGTGGTTCTAGTTGATTTCAAATATTTAGATTTAATCTGTTTTGATTATTTTATGATTTAGTTTTTTATATGAATATTTTATTTATATTTCAAATATTTAGATTTAATATGTTTTGATTATTTTAGGATTTGTTTCCTTATTTTTAGAATAAGATAATATCAATATTTGATTTTGTATAACAAATTTTCTCTATAAATAGAGACCTCATGAATAAAATTAGATTATGTTCCTCTGATAAAAATAACTCTTATAAAATATCCCATCAAATAAATATCATAAAATAATCTCATCAATAAGTAACTTTAAATTAATTATAGATTAGTCTTTACTTATACGTCTATTTAATTTAAACAAGATAAGTTTCTTTTGTGAATCAAGTTTATTATTCCCTACCCTTATATATAAGTATAAAGGTATATGTAACATGAAAGAAAGTAAACATGCTTAGTTACTTGAGTATATACCCTCAGAAAATTCTTTTCATTTTAGTTCTTTTTTTTTTTTTTACAGTTTCCATTCTCCATCTCACTTATTTTATTTATTAGTAAAAAAGTTTTTTAAGTAAATTAAAATGACACTCTCTAAAGCTTTGAAATTAAATACAGCTTAATTTTTTTTAAGGTTTAAAATAATTTTGTTTTAAAAAAATACAATATAACGTTTTTCAAATAATTAAGGGAAATTAAATTTAATTTCAAGGAATTTGAGTTTAACATCTTTCAAACAATTAATGCGGGTGGTGTAAGAATAGAAGTAGAAAGAATTGTATCTATCTTACGAAACTTCCAAGAATGTTTATATAATTTCCTAGATTCTTTTATGTATACATCAAAGTAAGGTTATGCAAAACGGCAAATTGGGTGACATTTGGAAATGATGAATCGTTTAACTCATTTACTCTTGTTTATTCTCTTTCCCAATTTGATTGAGTGAAAGGAATTCTATCTAGTTGGGTTGTTCCAACCAGAACATTACTAAGTGACATAAAAATGAGACAAAAAGAGAAGAAAAATTGGACTGTGTTATTACACTCACTGTGATTCCAAAAGGATAAGAAAAAGGTGAAAGTGGTGACACATTTTAAGCATGGTGTTTGTTACTTTTTGCCTTGTGTAATAAAGTTTGCATTTTCTCAGGTGGTCCAACACAAGCAAAATAGTCATTCCCAATCATAAATAGTTGTAAGGCTATTTGATATATATGCACAAATGCATAAAGGATTCAAGCAATTGAATGGTCCTAATCTAAATCTAAATTATGGGACCAGGATAATCTGTGCAATCTTCTCCTTATTTCATCATTACTTACTTTCTCTGTATATTTCTTTCTTTAGACCTACCTATAAATCTATATATAACTCAAAAATAAGGTAATAATCTATGATACATATAGTATCCTATACGACCATGTGTTAATTTTTAAAAATATAATATACGATACTTTTAAGATACATATTAAAAAATTCAAATCAAGACTATATTATTAAGAATATATTTGTTAAATATTAATAAATATAACATAAAGTTGAAAATTAATAGCTATCATAAAAAAAATAGATTAAGAATTTTTTTTTTTATTTTTGAACATTACTAAAAATATTTTCTTAATATGATTTTTTAATACTGATATATATTTTTTATTAATATTATATAAATTGTGCAAAGCAGATTAAAAATATAGATATGATAAAAAAAAAATATGCACTATAGATAATATTACAAAGGGATGAGTATAATACAATTGAACATTGTCATAACGGTGGGAGGAGGAAGTCCACTCCACAAAAACAAAACAAAAAAAGCCATGAAAAAATAATAAAGATTGAGGAATGCAACCCTTAACCTTTGCAATCACACAACTTCTTCCTTTTAAGAGTGTTGTTATTTGATAACATTTTGTGTGATTCATTAGTAATTTATCAAGAGAAACATATAATGCCAATCTTATTTGTATAAGAAATATAAGTATCGCAACATATCAAAAATTTTAATTTTATTTATTTTATACAAAATTATTATATACTCCTAGGACAAGTATCCTTGAAGTATCGATATCAAATATGTATCCAATATACATAAGGGATGAAAAAAGACATATCAATATGTCAAAGGTCATAATTCAATTCATGACAGTATTTCTGAATATGGTGAAGTGGTTGATCTAATTTTGTGAAAGACGACACAAAAAGGATAAGAGTAACAAATGAGTTTATTACCAACTACAATTTATTAAAGATATATGAAATATCGACTCCAACACAGACACCAAACACACCATAGACACAAACATCAGGATACAACTAATGTCCAAAATATAATACACATACACACTCACACAAGCTTCACAATTTTTATATGATAATAATTCTTAGAAGATGAACTATAACACTTAAAAAGTTAAAACAAATAATAGTTTCTACAAAAATAAGCCTTGAAAAGATTAAAAAAAATGTTATCAACCTTACAATATTTATAAATAAGTTTAACTTTTAAATTTTTTTTATAACAAGAATGTTAGATAACTATATAGCTATGAATAAGGGTTAATTCACTCTCTTAACGTATGTTCACATTAGAAGTGTCCGTAGTCAATCTAATCCAATGTAAATCACATAAATCAAACTGAAAAAACCCAAAATCTAAAAACTAAAAACAAAATCGCATATATTAAAAAAAATTAGATTATCTATTATATATATATATATATATATATATATATATCCAACTATTGATTATTTTGTTTTTGTTTAATATCTTATATTGTCATAAATAATATATTGACTATTGAATACTTAAAAATCTATTAATTTCTTTATTTTTTTGCTAGTAATTTTATTAAGTCATTGAATATTATAAATTATCTCAATTCATAATTTTTTATATTGACTTAGAATAATAACAATAACAGAAGAGATAGATCACTTAGTTTTCTTCCATAAAATCAATCCAATATGCGAACACCCATAGTTCACATCATGTCCAAAAGATGTTCAAGTTGTGTAGAAAAGGTGACCAAATCAAAAAAAGAATTTTTAATTATGACATTATAGAAAAATATAACAAGTGTCAAATCTAAAGCATGTTACACACTCCAACATGGTATGCAATATATATGTTTGTAGTTCACAATTAAATATCACAATTTTGAGTCTCGCCTTTTATTTAATGACTTAAACTCATAATTTTATAGTTATCCATAAATTTTAATGAATAATAAAGTGTTAAAGAGTGTTACAAAATGTGTTTCTGACACTCAACTAAATAGACAATCAGGTTGGAACAAGCAGAAATGTCCGAGTATAGCAATAATGAAACAGGATACAACAGGGGTGACAATATTACAAAAGTTAGTATCTATGGTTACATAGAAAATCAGATTATAACAAATGGCAAGAGGGTGGTTGATCATGCTACATAAAAGGGAAAATTAACTACAAACATGTGAGGGTGGTTGATCAAGCTACAAAAAAGGGTAAATAAACTACAAACATTATCAACACTAATAAAACAACCTGTATTAATGACAAAACCAAGTCACTTCCAGAGCTTCACAAACTTATCATGACTGGCTGAAGCAACCAAACCATTTACAGTAGAAACAGCCAATGCAGCAATAAGACCTTCATGTGCGGATAGAGTCATGGTCTTGTTCTCAGTCATGTTCCAGAGCTCCAATGACTGCAGAACATGTAACAGGTCAAAATTACAAACCATACTATGAATTGGATTTAACTACTATTTGTCAAGATCATGAGAAAAGGTAATATATAATCAGGTCAGAGCTCCCAAGGCTGTCGCATCATCATAGCCTGTTTGGATATAAATTTAAAAGAACTTTGGAGAGCTTCTCTATTGAAAATAAAGAATTTTTTTTTTAACAGAGAAGCTCTTAAAAACACTTGTAACTTGTATATGAGCATGTTCATAATAACTAACTACAAGCAAAATTGAAGTATTAATGACTGAAGCACCTTTTATAAGAAACTAGAAAATTACTTGGAATGTAGACAGTTGGAAGGAAATCGCTAATGACAGCCTTAGTAGTTTTGTATTTAAAATAACTGATAGGAATAAAATTGGAAAACAATAGTAAGAAAATAATCTAATACCATCAAACTGTATAACTCAAAATTTGGTTATGGTGAAAAGGCTAAAAAGGATAAAATATTATAATCTAACTTTACTAAAAACTACCAGATCCTCATGAACAGTGCTTTCTTCATGCTGCCAAACACACTAAATAAACTCCATTAAATGCTTTCAATTACTTAAAAATGCAAGTATTAAATGACTTTGGTACTCTATCAATACAGTAAATGCTTTCATTTTCATTAAATGCCTATTTAAAAAATCTCTCATTTATGAGGACAAGTGCTTTTAGAAGGACCTTAGTTCTCACTTCTCAGGAGTAGCACTCCCTTCTGATCAAGCCCAAGACTCGAAATAAATCATCCTTAAGAACTCATTTGGTGAACATGATATTCTATTTTAATCAATTGTTAGGTGAATCAATAGGATATCACAAAACAATCCTATCACCCTTTCTTGTCATATTCACCTGTTAACACTTTATCTTGTGGTGAAGGTTGGGTTAGAATCCAACCAGTTAATTCCAGGCTCCAGCAATGGATAAACCTTGATATCATCGTAGAAAAGGGGATATGTGACATATCTACCAATGTCCTAGGTGTATGCTCTATGATATGAAATTTATCTGCTACACGGATGGGAAGGATCAGCATAATAGAGTTCTCTGTTTTGTTGTAAGCTGATTGTCACTTTACCAGCTCAGCATGTTCTTTGTTATGTTGCAAGTTGACTGGCACTTTGCCAGCCCAGCATTAGTTTGCTAGTGTTTTGTATCTTACATTCTTACTCTATATGCTTCCCGAGTACTATATATATATTGGTCTCTTTGTTTATGAGATTAGAACAATATATGAAAATAAAAATTTTCAGAAACTTTAGCTTCTTACATTTCTATATGGTATCCAGAGTTTGTACCATCTTGCATGGCTATTGATCCTTATATGCGTCCTCCGCTGCTGAATTCTTTTTTGTCGACAAATCTGCAATCGTCGTCTTATCCAATGCTTCCTTTATTTTCGTACCCAATCACTGAGAAATTATCTGATGATAATTATCTTGTTTGGCTCCAGCAAGTTGAATTGATTCTTTGTGTACATCATTTGCATAGGTTTTGTGCTGCTCCTCAAATCCCTAGTCGCTATCTCACTGAAGCAGATCGCATAGCTGATATCAAAAATCCAGCATTCACAGCCTAGGAACTACAAGATCAGCTACTTTTGGCATGGCTTCAATTATCATTATCATCCTCCATTTTACCCAAAGTTATTGGATGTAGTTACTCCTGACAACTATGAGAGAAGATTCATCACCATTTTCATTCCAAGACCAAGGCATAGGCTCAGCACCTTTGATCCGAGCTTTGTAACACTAAGAAAGAAGATTGATCTATTTCACATGTTCTCACAAGAATCAAATTGGCTTTTGATTCTCTCATTCCTATAGGTGAAACTATTTCTGTTCAAGAACAAATTGATGCTCTTCTTGAAGCTTTATCTACTGAATATGAAGCTGTTGATGCTCTTGTCAATAGCAAACTGGATTGTTTTGATTTTGATGATATTGAATCAATTTTGCTTGCTCAAGAAAGTCGCATTAACAAGCATAAAGAGATGCTTGATTCTGTCTCTACCTTGAATTTGACTCAAGCACCGCCTATGGTTTCAGAACAACAACCTACAACTACTAATCCTGCACCTCAAGCTAATTTTGTTGGCACAACCTCTTAGCCTATAACCAGTAATTCTCAATTTTCTAGTTTTAATAATATGGTCGTGGTGGTCGTTCAAGTCACAGAGGAGGTCGTAGCAACATTCAATGTCATGTATGCTACAAGTTTGGTCATTATGCAACTTACTGCTATCATAATTCATAGGTTCAATCCTACCTATGCTCCTTCACAACAAAATTATCCTACTCAGCAACAGAATTACATTGCTCCATCACAGTACTATGCAACATCTTAGTATCCTGCCTATTACAATGGTAATCCTTACCAGTATATTCGCCCTTCACCACCTCAACTTCCAGTTCAACCTGTCATACAACCTCAACTCAATCAACCTGTTCCTACACCTGGACACTCTGCCCGAGCCTGTCTCACATATCCTCAACCCCAATCCTTTGTTACCAATACCACTCCTCAACAACAATCACAAAATTGGTTTGTTGATTTGGGTGCCTCACATCATGTTACAGAAAATCCTAGTAATCTCACTATTGAAGTGCCTCTCAACACTCGAGCATGTTTTCTTAGGCAATGGTCAAGGTCTGCCAATTAAATCAATTTTCCACTTCCTTCCACTCCTAGTACTCATACTATTTTACATCTTAACAATATGTTACTTGTTCCTATCATTACTAAAAATGTTATTAGTTTAAGTAAATTTGCTTGTGACAATCAAGTTCATTTTGAATTTCCCTCTCACTATGTTGTTATATCTCAGGTTAATAATCAAGTCCTGCTGCATGGTCATCTTAGTTCGGACAGTCTTTATTCCTTCCCCAATCTTCTTCAGTCAAGTGTTACCAAGTGACTACCCAACTTTGCTATTTTGTCTACTAATTGTAAATCCTCTAGCACTGTAAACACACACATTCACCTCTCTTTCATTGTGGCACAATAGACTTGGCCATCCCAAATTTTTTGTTTTAAAGAATGTACTCAAATTGTGTAACATTTGTTTCTAATAAGTGTTGATTTTTGTGTTGCATGTTGCATGGGAAAATCTCAGAATTCCTTCTCATTTGTTTACTAATGTTTACTCTTCTTTAGTGTTAATTTTCTGTGATCTATGGGGACCAGCCCCTATACAGTCCTCTAAGGGATACACATATTACATGTCTTTTGTTGATGCCTTCAATAGGTATACCTAGATTTACTTTCTTAAAACCAAATCTGAGGCACTCAATATCTTAGCAGTTTGGGGATCACTCATCGTATAATATGCACACACACACATCACCAAAATGGTGTGGTTGAGAGAAAACATAGGCATACCAATAGACTTCCTTCTCTATAGCATAACCAAGCTATACCATACCAAACCATCTATAACAAAATTCCTGATTTTACCTTTCTCAAGGTCTTTGGATGTGCTTGTTATCCTTTTCTTCAACCATATAACACCCACAAATTACAATTCCGTCTGCTAGTGTATTTTTATAGGATACTCTCCTTCTCATAAAGGACACAAATGCTTGGATAATAATGGCAGGATATTCATTTCCAAAGATGTTCTTTTTAATGAACAAAGGATTCCTTATCAATCTATATCAAAACCTACTACATCCAATCAATTACCTTTATCTACTTGTCCTCTTGGAGATCTCTCATCTGCTCCTCAAACACATATATCACCCATTTCATCCTACATCTGCCAATTACACTTATTAAAGGTTTTCATCAAAAATTTGGTTGTGATTACACAAAAAACTGTTACAGTTCAAATTATGCTGACTTTGGCTCTAACTAATCACTAGCCTATCAAGCAGATTGATATTAATAACGCCTACCTCAATGGCTACCTAAATGAAGATATTTATATGGTTCAGGTTCAACCTCCAGGATTTGAGGTTTCTGATAAAAGTCTTGTTTGTAAACAACAAAAGGCAATTTATGGTTTAAAACAGGCTCCCCGAGCCTGGTATGACTCGTATGAGCGACTGACAAACTCTTCTTGGGTTCAGATTTGTTCCAAGCAAATATGACCACTCTCTACTGATTTAAAAAAAAATGTGATGTTTGTATCTATATGTTGATCTACATGGATGATATAATAATTACAGGAAATTCAGGTTCCTTGGTTCAGGCCTTCATTACAAAACTACAGGATGTATTTGCTCTCAAGCAACTTGGTGATGTTGATTATTTTTTGGGGATAGAAGTCAAGCATTCTTCTTTAGGATCTCTTCTTCTGTCTCAGGGTTAATACATCAGAGATCTTCTGCAAAGAGCAGCTATGGACTCTGCCAAAGGAATTGCTACTCCTCTTCAAGCTACTCTCAAACTGTCCAAAGTTGGTTCAGATTATTTTGAAGATCCTTTTCTGTACAGGTCTGTAGTTGGAGCTCTTCAGTATGTTACTATAACTCGCCCTAAAATTGTTTATGCTGTCAACAAAGATTGCCAATTTATGGCACAACCTCTGGTTTCTCATTGGAATGCTGTAAAAAGTATTCTACGGTATCTTCGAGAAACTACTGATCTTGGTCTACTTTTTCAGCATGCAACTACTGCCATTCCTCTTGCTTTCCAAGCTTTCTCATATGTTGATTGGGGATATGATGTAGATGATCACAGAAGTACTTCAGGTGTATGTTTATTCCCAGGTCCTAACGTCATTTCTTGGTGGTCCAAAAAGAAAACTCTTGTTGCTAGATCAACTGCTGAAGATACATAAGACTAGCAATGGCTGCTTCTGAAGTTCTATGGGTTCAGTCTCTTCTTCATGAGCTATAGATTAGTATTCCTACACCAGTCATCACCTGTGACAATCAAAGCACCATTGCCTTTAGTCACAATCCTGTTCTACACTCCAGAACAAAGCATATGGAACTGGATATATTCTTTGTGCGTGAAATGGTTCTTAACAAGTCACTACTTGTCTCTTATGTTCCTCCTCAAGCTCAAGTTGTTGATATCCTCACTAAGCCTCTTGCAAAGACTCGGTTCTGTTTTCTCAGAGACATACTCAAGGTCCTGAGTTCCTCACAATCCCGAGTTTGTGGGAGAATAATAGAGTTCTTCTCTGTTTTGTTGTATGCTTATTGGCACTTTGCCAGCTCAACATGTTCTTCTTTGTTATGTTATAAGCTAACTGGCAATTTGCCAGCTCAGCATTAGTTTGTTAGTGTTTTTATCTTACTCTATACGCTTCCCCTGTACTATATATGAAAATAAAAGTTCTCAAAAATTTTCTTAGTTACTTACATTCCTACACAGCATAACATTGATACTATGGGATATCATTTCTAGGAGGAATGATAGGTCTCATAACAGGTAAGATTACATGACATAAAATTATGATACCAAATAGAGTGAGTGATGGTTATATTTTATTTTGTAGATTTTGGCTATCCATATTGTGAAGGATTAGACAGATTATTTGGCTATAGAATTATGATACAAAATAAAATGAATGATACTTATATTTCAATTAGACATTATTTTGTAGATGTTGGTTATACAAATTGTGTAGGATTCTTTGCTCCATACAGAGGGTATCATTACATCGCAGTGAAAGGAGATGTGGGTATTCACCGTCATATAAGGAAAAACACTTCAATGAGATACTCAGGCAAGAAATGTGATGGAAATGTGTTGAGCTATACTTAGAAGCCAATCTCTCAATTCAATCAAAATCCAAAACCGTATTATAATTGTGCTTGTTGTCTTTTACACAAGGGAAAAACAGTTCGATTTATAATCGAAAGCACAACTACACAATGAGGACATGATGCATGTTGATCCTATTAATACAATTGAGAGTAGTGATGTTTGGTCTGCTGCTTGGAGGGATAGCTTAGCTTAGCAATATGAAAGGCTTGCTAATGTATAGATGAATTATATTGTTATTGGTTGGTTTGTCTATAATTTTATACTGTTTGGAAGGAAGGAGTTGGAAGAACTATATGTTTGTGTTTGTTGCACTGTTTCTGAATTTAAACTATTATTGAGGTCAATAACATCATTTTTTTTCCTACACATTTCATACAAGTTACAAAGCATGGACACAGCAATAGGAAACAAAATAAGGAAATGATTCCAAACATATTCAATAGGAAACAAAATAAGGAAATGATGTAGACTCGCCTCGTAGCAACCAACAACCAACAGCGAAGAATACGTTGGATGGAAAACACACGAGTGAAACTTATTGCCATTACAGCTAAGCTCATGAACACACTCCCCTTCACTCCCAGTTCCAAGAGTCCAAACCCTGACAGAGTCCTCACTGACAGATGCAAGAAACTCCCCAGAAGGGTCCCAACACACAGAATGTATAGATTTTGTATGTCCCTATAATCATATTAAAATCAAAGATGCATAAGTAAAGTTTGAATAAGACAACTTACAAAAGGAACATAAATTACAGTTGAAGTTGCCAACATAACAAATATCTAAGCTCCAAAATTGTTTGAAAATATAGACAATGTCAGAAGTATTTTATTCTAATATGAAGAATGACTCATGTTTCTTTTCTTAGACCTCCCTCCAGCAAAAACAATTAGGTAGACAAAGAGGATGAGGAGTGTGAGACTCAAGTGCAAATAGACTCGAGAATAATTGCACATCTGATCAAAAGAATTTATCCTAACTCCAGCAATGTTCAAACCAACCTTGAGTGAATATCGACAAGCTTGTGTTTCCACATCAAGTATAGAAACAACATTCTCTGCAGCTGCAGCTAGGTACCTCCCTAGACGAGGTTGAAATCTCATCTGAGCAGTGCCACCCTAATCAGTAAGAAGTTTAGTTGGTTTAGCAAACTGAATACTCAAACAGTTACATACACAACCAATTAAACAAATGCATATAATACAAGACAATGTTAAATGTCTACCTTTGAGACTCTAGCACAACTGCCATTGTTAATGCTCCAATATCGTATCTCGCCATCAACATCACAAGAGCAGATAAGATCGTCTTTATTTGGGTGAAAATCTAGTGACATAACAGATGAAGAATGCCCAGTAAAGGTACGAAGCGAATACCCAGGCTGCATTGGTAATAACATGTAAGCTAAAGCAAAACAAAAAGAAAGAAAAATACATGCAAGCACACGACACATATAAATCAAGAGATAAAGACAAACTATCTGAGCTGCAATCATTTGCGACATCCCAGCTCATAAATAGACCTGGCATTCAAATCTACCCATGATAACAGGAGAAACTTTTTCCAGGCCCCATGTAGTTTTAAATATACCCATAAGAATATTAATCTAGTATCAGTTAGAAATTAGTGCATAGATCGCATTAGTCATAACCTTTAATATAAAGATGATTGGATATTAGAATTCATTGTGCTAAATTGATAGCAGTAAATATTACCAGAAACAGAAATCCCTATGATCGTGAAGCACTAAGCTTGCACCTTACTACATCTTTTATCATTGAAGTAGTCAGATAACTTTTCTTCCTAAGCTTCTACAAAGAACAACAAAGCATTGTGTCCCAGTCTCTGTGATAACTAACAATAAGCAGAATTCATACTTTTGAAGATAAATATGTAGCCAATTAAGGATTCCTGGATGCAGAGTCTTGAAAAAACTTTTCATTACATCGTTGTTAGGAAACCAAAGCAGAAAATAGAAGAAAAGAAAGATGATATTTCTTGATTGCTAAAGAATAAGGAATAGGAGAGATAACTATCCTCCAAGGGTTTCCCCTTCCAAAATGATTTCTCCATTCACAAAGAACTCAATTCTCAAATCAGAGGAATGGATCCTTTCCTCTTAATTCCCCTTATTTATATCTAACTAACTCACTTACTAATTAACTACTCTAACTGCCTTGAGTAATTTTCCCTTCCCTTCCAACTCCTAACAAACATCCTCGTCGATTATACTACATAAGAACCAAGTTTAAAAAATCATATACCAGGAAACACAGCTGCAATACATGTTTCAAGCCCATAGCTGACAAGGACAGGGGTAATTTGATGTATTGTATTCTTTTTAGTATATTCGTATTTCATAAGAAACAAGCACAATTTTTTTAATAATTTTTAATATTGTTAATGTGTTCATATTTTCAGTAAAAGATAACCGAACACAATTTTTATAACCTTTTTTATGTCATGCTTCAGAGGCAGAGAAAATCCTATACTTACGACATTCATAGCCAAGTTAATACAATATATTGATATTAAATCTATTGGGAAAAAATCTCAAAAACAGTATTATTAGAATAAAAAAAATGAAATGAACTAACATTATCAACATCCCACACCCTGACAGTTTTGTCATATGAAGATGTTGCAAGACGAGGCATGCTTGGACTGAAACGGACATCAGTGATTAAAGATGAGTGCTCTTCAAGAGTAGCTTTCTGTTTTAGAGAATCTGTGAACCATAAAACAGCCTGCATTATGAAAAAATCAGAGGAAATGTCATACTCTCTATATAAAAGAATAAGTATTAGAGATACTCCTAATTATGTTTTTCAATTTCCATGCAGGTCAATTGCTGAGTTTACTGCAAATTTCAGGAAATCAGTTGAACAGAGAAAACAATAAATAAAATGCTTTTCCAGAGTAATGTATTGAGTCTACTGACTAACCTTTTTGTCATGGCCACCACTAGCAAGCAATTTCCCATCAGACGAAAAATGGCAACAGACAACTTTGTTAGTGCTTGCACGTTCAGATTTTATTTCATTAAACGTGAAACCTGAAAATAAAGTGAATCCATGGCCTCAGTTTCCACATGAATACCTATTCATGCAAATCAATAAATTAAAGAACAATCCACCTTCAAAAACAAAAGTACATAGCCCCTTCTAATTTTATTACGGAGAATATATTGTTATTGTTAAAGTAGAAACTCTCTATGGGCTTGCACATTTTAACCTGTTATTTATAGCTTCAATACATTCAATTAATAGAGCAATCAAGGAACTATTTGGGATAAATGAATTTGCTCCTCTGAGCATTCTAGGGTGTTTTTATCCATTAAATAGCTAGTTTCCATCCAGATAAGATCCAGTCTTTGATTTGAAGTTTGAACTACAGCACTTGATAGAATATTGATGACTTGCTGGGTGTTTACATGCTACATCCTGAGCTTGCCCTAGGTCCTTTTGGTAGAAGACAGTAAATTTTGGGGACAAGATGCAATCTAAGCTACACTTTGGTTGATAGGACCCCAGAAGTTATATAATTAATTACGAAGTTGTTATAGAATTAGTTAAATGGTTATAGAAGGGGCAGGGGCTTAAGTTAAATAGTAGGAGGGAGGGGCAGAAGGGAGATTCATTCTGCATAGATAGTAGACATGGTCATGGGAGAGATAGATGTTCATTTTAGGAGAAAGAGTTACTTTCAGAATAGACAAATCTGATAAGAGGCCATTCAATAAGCATATAATCTCATTGTCAATCAGGTGCATTCTGAACGTATTTACTCTGATAATTTAGTACAGTTCAGAAAGTTGTTGAAATGTCCAGTGCCAAATAAAGTTAAGGTTATTTCTTGGAGATTATTGCTGGATAGATTACCAACAAAGAAAGCTTTGTTCAATAGATAGGTGTTGAATAATGCAAGTCTCATTTTGTGTTCGGTTTGTGAAGAACAACACATCAATCATATGTTCTTCAGCTGTCCAGATATGCGGGTCTGGAAATACATATATGGGTGGGATGGTTTTGATGACGTTTTAGCACACACAAGTATGAAACACTTCACTCAACATGAAGGGATGATTGGAAGCAAAAAGGGGAAAAAGATTTGTTTTTAATTTGGCATGCAGTGATATACTGAAGGAGACAGGCATGGCAGCTTGTAAACCTGAGTACTCCCATGGACACAAATCTCAAATTAGGAAACTCAGATGATAGTGCAACAATGGATAAGGAGATGTATCAGCGTTTGGTTGGAAAATTAATTTACTTGTCTCACACAAGGCCAGATATTGCATTTGCTGTAAGTTTAGTCAGCCAATTTATGCATTGTCCGAGAGAAGTTCATTTGCATGCCACATACAGAATTCTGCAATACCTCAAGGGGACTCCAAGAAGAGGAATTTTATATAAAAGAAATGGAAATACAAGTCTTGAAGCCTACACTGATGCTGACTATGCAGGATCAATTATTGATAGGAGATCTACTACAGGATATTGCACATTTCTTGGGGGAAACTTAGTAACATGGAAAAGTAAAAAGCAAAATGTTGTTGCTAGATCTAGTGCTGAAGCTGAATTTCGGGCTATGGCACAAGGTATTTGTGAACTACTATGGTTGAAAATTATCCTAGAAGACTTGAAGATTACATGGGATGGACCAACGAAATTCTATTGTGATAATAGTCAGCAATCAACATAGCTCATAATCCTGTTCAGCATGATCGAACCAAACACATTGAAGTGGATAGACATTTTATCAAAGAAAAGCTTGATAGTGGTTTGATTTGTACTCCGTATGTACCTTCACAAAGACAACTTGCAGATATTCTTACTAAAGGCTTGCACTGTCCAGATTTTGAGAGAATAATATGCAAGCTAGGAATGGAAAACATTTATTCTCCAACTTGAGGGGGAGTGTTGGAAATAGGAGTATATAATGATTGTTACTGTTGGAAATAGGAGTATTTAATGATTGTTACTCTTCGTAGTTTCTTTGTTCAATGTATCTTAGGAAGTTGTGGTATTTTAATTGTTGTCTTGGAAATAGTTGATGTCATTTATTATCTTTGTTACCACTATCATTATAAATAAGATCATTTTGCTGAGTGGAAATATACACTCAAGCATAATTAGAAAATGAGTTCCCTATTTCTCTCTTTTAACAGTCTACAAGGTTCTTGCGTAACAAAATTGTTTTCTCTGAAGACCCTTTTGTTTTTACCCAGTTGTTGGATTTTGTCAAGGTGCAATCCTGGTCTTGGTTAAATGATTTCTTTGGTAGAATCTGTCCTTTTTAGATTGGTGCAATAATCCATTAGCTTTTAAAGCAATTAGGGGGGGAGGGGTGCAACATTCATAACCTGGTGAAGAGCAAAGCCATTGACACAGGTAGGCCATTAGGCCCACCGCCAACCCTGCTTTGTGTTGAAATTTAACTTTTTTATTTAGAAGAACAGAGGATAACAAGGATCAAACTCTAGACCATATGATCAACAAGGCTTTGGCACTGTCCATGAACCAACTATCCAAAAAGTTTATTGGGTGAAGGTACGTGAAGAATTTTATATGTAACATAGTTTACTACAATCTACCACTAATAATCAACCGAGGGAAAATTTAACATTTAAAATATACATACACTTGAGAAACATAATCGCAAAGATAATACTAGAATATTTTAGTCAATAAAAACAATGGTGTTTACTGCACCTTTGCTTACATCCATACAACGACCAACAGTATCTCTAGGATCTGTATCATCATGGGATAAAAAAGACTCAACATTATCATCAAGAGATCCATCCTCCACAAAGCGATCCACATCAGCCTGCAATTCAAGATCTTTATCATCCGACTGCCAAAATGGAATGGCAATGAGTCTACATGCAAGGAACTTATTATTCCTTCCATTGATTGAAAGAGCCACTTACCAACTGGTTTGAAGGTGATGTCAGAGTTCCAGTGCCATCAGCACCAAACATCATTAATGGCTTTGAAGAACTACCACTATGAGGTAAAGCGGGCATTGACATCACATCACCAGGTGTATGTGTTGAGGGAGTTGAGGGTGCTGAACTAGGAGAGGGGCCAGCTGTCCCAGAACTATTGGCGGGACCAGAAGATGCAGGCTGCTTTCTCTTTCTCCCAGTCTGGTTTTTGGAAACCTTAAAGTGCATTCAGAAGAAACCATGTTAGGAACCTATATTAGACGACATTATAAACACACACCAGACCAAATCCGTTATCTGAAATTCAGAGACACAAATTTATGCTCATGTGATCTAACAGAAATAGAAGGAAGTAATTCATAGTCTTGTAACAAGTTACCAAGCATTCTTTTACATACAGGAGTCAAAATTCAATGAAACAAACAAGCAGTTGAAATTGCACTTTACAATTGTTTAATGCAAATAAAATAAAATAAAATAAAATCTGCTGCTGCATTACCTATGGATCATCACATTTGAGGTTGAAAAAGTATATGTATAATACTTGTGCTCAACCAATTCAGTAATGGATAAGTAAACAAATTCACTATCCCTTGTGAATTTCCAAACTTCTCCTAATCCCTTATTAAATATAAAGTTTTACATAATTAAAATGGAAAAAATTCCTCATTAGCATAAATTAGTTTTACTTAACCTAAAATGACTTATACATGGTCAAAGTGGATCTACAATTTTAAGAAAGCTTTATTTAAAAATAGAAAAAGGTATCAAAATATGAATAAGATTGAGTTTAAAAATCTTAACAAAATTGTATAAACAGTAAAAATCATGTAGGTTTTCATGTTATAAGAAGTAATCACTTAACATAACATAATTAAATGACATTTTTTAATTTTCTGTTTTACTCCACCGCACAATCACAACCTAACTGTTTTCATATTATAATGTGAGTCGAGCCGTCGAGGCACTTTGTGCCTCTATTTTTCATTAAAAAAGAAAAACTTTAGAGGCACTTGTGTACCAATTACGGCAAGAGATGAAAAGAGAGAGAGAAAAAAAAAATTGAATGAGTAGTGGGAAGTTGCAGTTACGGAGATTATAAGACTAAAACATGAAAACAAAAATTTTCATTGGTTTATATTTTAAGGAAGTTGTTAAGGACAACATAGTCCCATCAAAAATGGAGACCAAAAGCAGTTGGGGGAGAAGGTATCCCCTTTATATATTGTTATAGATATAAACCTTGACTAAAAGTGCATGTTGCATATAACATAAAACAAAATTGACTATTAATGATTAATGAATATAACATGGAGTATCTTAATGTATATATTAATGAATTTTAATGAGTCTCTAATTACACTTTGGGTAAGTATTATTAAATTGATTTATTTTGCATTTCAAAAAAGAATCTGCTAAAGGCTCTTTATTAAAATATTTTGATTCCTTTTTTAAAAATCCAAATAAGATAATTCTAACATGTAATAGAAGAAATTTGACCATCAGATAAAAACTCAAAGTGATATACATGAAATTTGCATTTATTATGGAAGAACTTAATTCTTCACATCAAAAATTCATTATTCACTCAATATGTCAAATTATCAATAGTTGCGCATTATTTTACAAGTCAGAATATATATAGGTGTATTGCCTTAATGATTCCATAAGATAAAAGGAACTGACTATTTATGCATAGCTCTCTAAAATATGCGCAGGGTCGTGGCAACCATTAAATAACTGACCTGATCATTTCCTCTAAACGAATTTGACATGCTACCATCCACGTTGACACTACCACCTCCCCCAATTTTATCTTGCTGATGCATGTTATGATTTGAAGTCTGTGAATGTGATTGCTGATTTGAAAGAGAATGTTGTTGAAGTTGCTGCTGTTGAGGATTGGCATTCTGCTGTAGTTGATGTTGGTGCAACTGAGCCAGCTTTAACTAAACAAACAAAAATCTTTCAGAATATGCAATGCGTGACACTTGTGGCAACTCCAAGGATTTATAAATGGAAAACTTGAAAAAATAATGCAAGAACCATAAAGTAGATGGAAAGATAAATTACAATTAAAAATAAAAATAAAAAAAGCACCTTCATTAGCATATCTGTCTCACTACGCGGAAAAGTAGGGCCACCTGCTTGAAGAGGTGATCCAACATTTGATACTACATCACCAACAGGGTTTGAAAGACCATCCTTACTTACACCCATATTCCTGTTATTGAGCAGCATTCTGAGTCTTCTACTATCATCACTGGAAGATGGCGATGCCAAATTTTGTTGTGCTAGCATTAGCTGTTGCTGATGCTGTGGTGTCAACATTGGAAGTTGTTGAAAAGGCTGTTGGGCCTGCATGAAAGGTTTCTGTGGCTGGAGTAGACCAGAACGTAATTGCTCCAAGCCCTAACAAGGAATAGAAAAAAGCTAAATAAAGAATCCTAATAACTCAATTATTAGGTTTTATCATTAAATGATGTCCAAGTCACAGTTATCAGGAGAGACTTCAGAAAAGAGGCCACTATTTCTATCAGATGATGGAGGTTTTGCAGGGCTAACAAGGCTACTTCTGCCACTTGGTAATGACTCATGCCGAATGGATGAGACATGGTTAGGGTGAAAGATTGTAGGTTCAATTTCCATATACAACATCAAAACAAGAGAGGCTTCTCATTCTCAAGTATAAAAGTTTAGGAAGACATGATTTTATCTGGTAACATTTAATTAAAAATAAAAAAGAATACTCACTGTAAGTGGCCACCCTTTCAGAGTCAAATTGTTGCTACCTTGATTCGAACCTGATGAAAAAAAAAGCCTCCTGTTAACTCTAACTGTTTGCAAGAGTAATGATAAACATCACAACAGTTTTAACATTAATTCCCAAAATATCCTCACCCAACAGGGGGATGAATAAATTGCAATTAACCTACTAGATGGAAAACAAACCCTCAACAAATGCTTGCAAACCAGCTTCCAAAGTAATAAAACAAACTAGTTACGGTAGAGTAAGGACATGATGAAAGATTACCAGGCATTGCTATTAATGATCCTTCAGGACCTGCAGCTCTTGGATTTAAAACAGGATTGATCTCACTTTTTATATCCTGATTAGCCAAGTCATGAAAAAACAACTGATAAGAAATATATCAAGAGATAACGAGTCTAATTTAAAAACACTAACATACCGGAGTAGACCCTGGCAATTGTTGACTACGAGCTTGAACTTGTGGAGACATTGCACCAGCAGTACCATGCAATACTTGCCTGAAATCAAGAAATTTAGCGCTAACAGAGCCAACATCCATTGGTATATTGATTAATGAATACAAGACGCTAATATAATTAATGGAATGCCACATAGATATTTCAAAAACTTGAAAAAAAAATTAAAAAGTATAGAAGCAAATACTATTAATTCTTCAAGGTCGTGGAAGGAGAAGACCTTTTTCAAATGAACTACTGCAGCTCCTGCCCCTACCCTCACCCTACCCTCAAGTGAAAACAGTCTGGCCTCTACATTGTTTACCATAGAAGATCCCTTTTATTGTCTCACATTCATGAAGCTTCAATTCATGTTAAATTAGCTCAGCCACAGCCAAAGACTAAACAAGCATAACTACCTTCTTTTCAAGTATATATCATACCAATTTAAAGACTTAAACAAAAAACAATACGTTCTAAAAAACAATACCCTGAAGGTTGGCCGGTAGCTGCAGATGACTTCAAAATTGAGGCGTGATTTGGGTCCAAAAGTTGGTCTCCAAATCTTTGCTGTACAAAATACCATATGATAGTTATGAGTATATATGTCATAAAATAAAGTATTATAATTTGGCAACCAGAATATCCCCCTACCTTCATTGCTGCATCTTCCAAAGAGTCCCTTTGAAGGGGCAGTTTTAACCTTTCCTCGTACATCTTTGTTGCTAGTGCATTTGCAGTGCTAGGGTTTCCAACTAACCCATTTGTACCACCATTTAAGAGATGAGCCCTATCCCTACCCTGCTGTTGCTGTGGTGGTGGCTGCTGATGTTGCGACTGTGGTTGCTGTTGCTGCTGCTGTTGTGGTTGTTGTTGTTGTTGCTGCTGCTGCTGTTGCTGTTGAGCCCTCTGGAACAGCATTTGTTGCATCTGCATGTGTTGTTGTTGTTGTTGCTGCTGCTGTTGTTGATGTTGCGACTGCTGAGGCTGTGGTTGCTGTTGTTGTTGTTGGTGCTGTTGCTCTCTAGCCTTAATTAACTGAGTCTGCAAAGTGAGTTTCACAAACCATAAACATCAAGTGGTACCTAAGATTTTTCCCTTTAGAAACTCCATTGTAAAATTGTCAGCCAGCATGCCAACAATTTTACAAGGGCAGCATAAATATTGAATAATCAGATATAACTAGACTATATCTTGCTAAGCTCATAGTTATCAATCCTAGATGGCGGCAGGGAGCAGCCGATCCCAAAACCACCATAGCATGATAGTGCACAGCCGGATCACCGCTATTATGAAATTTCTAGATATATATTAAAAAACTTATATTACATATAAAAAAAATTAAAAATCCTCAAAAAAAAAAAGAAAAAGAAAATCCCATAAATAAAGGCATATTCATAATTAATAATTAAAAGTCAAAATTTTAAGTCAAACATAGAAGTTAACAACGAGTATAAAAGAAAAATGTGCAGACGTTTACCTATTGAAACACCACAATGAAAGTAATAATATAAAACAAAACATAGACCTCTTACACAATGCCAAATGTCAACATTCAAGGGGGTAAAAAAGGTTTTGTCTCTGAGCCAGTAGCAGTCATGATGGGTGTGAATGGCCATGAAAGCAGCCACAATTCATGACCCTCCAGGGGCAGCAACAAACTGCGACATGACATGACAGAGTGACCAATAGCCACAACACTCCGCTACACCACTATAGCACACAATTAACTACTATGGCTAAGCTAATTGTCGAAATTGAAATTTCTTATTATTGCCTAAGTCAAAAAATAACATTAGTATGTACTATATAATTTCTGCAATTTAACAAAGCAAACAACACAGACCTGTATGGATCAGATTTCCTGTTTAGAGTCACCTCAAACATGCAAAGGCGTCTCCATAGATAAAAGGAACGAATGCATCATGATACAAATTAAAATAAAAATATAAAAGATCCTGAGATAAAAAGAAAATGTAAGGTGTCATCACAAATTGGGGAAATAATATTTACCAAGTGAGGAACATGAATTTATAATGCGCCAAGATGCCTATTATGCCAAGAGACTCATTAAATGAATTATTAATCAACTTCTCAATTTCTCTTTTCCTAGATTTGCTTAAATATGCATTCAAGGTTGCCTTGCCACAAGACACAAAAACAGTTTTCTGCGTGTAATTTATAATTTTATTTCAGCAAAAAAGAAAACACCAAAAATTTTAAATAACCACAGGCTCAAACTAGACATTTTTTAAATCATACTGCCTGTCACCTAGTCAGCACCCTGGAATTAAAAATTAAAGATCTCCCTATCTCATTTAATCAAAGGTGAATCTAAAGAAAAGATCCCAACTTTCCACAACAGCTGAACTACACATTTTAAACAAGAAACAGCTAACAAAACCATTCATTAGTTAGGAGGCACAATTTTGAAGTTAAAACTGATTGAATATATACGCTCCTTTATCCAATACGTGAACGACTACCACAAAAGTTGATCAACTGCCAGTTCATCTCAACACTGTTTTTTCTTAGCTGAACTTCTAGCACAACCATCCTACTCAGTTTTACCATACAAGAAGAAATATGGTATGTATGAACCAATCTCAATCCCTCATTGAATACACGAACAAATTCAGAGAAAGTTAATCAACCAACCTCAATATAAGATGCAGCAACCTCTGAGTGCTTCTCATTGGTCCTGGCAATAAATATGTCCCAGAATACCGACCACCACTCAAACAGAAATCCTCCAGGTGCATCAATAGCTGCAATCCCACTTTACCATCAAGAAAAGCAGCCAAACCAATAAAAAAAACAAAGCAGAAACATAAAATACAACTCAACTACATCATTTCTATTTTCTAATTAACTCACCAACAGGGTCCGAGGACACTTTCCCTTCAGCTTGAAAAGCCTGAGCTGAAGCCTTCAAATCCCTCTTCACTAGGTAATCATGGATGTAAACATCTAACCTGAAAATCTCACAGCAAGCAAGCACAGGTTGAGCTATATGAGAACCAAAGTTTGGATCTTTACATCGAGCATACCACAGAATAGATACCCAAAAACCCACATCAAAACATCAAACACCCAAATGCAGGAACCAAAGAGTCCAATTTCATTCAATCTAAAGAAACCCCTTACACTAGCAGAGGCTAGAAAACCCTAACACACCCACCAAAACATTCTCACACATTAACATAAACACAATACTCGTAGAACCAAACCAAGGGAAATAAACCAACCCCAAATCAACAAAAGGCAACAAACAGACCCAGAACCCAAATCAAAAAAAAAAAAACTAAAATTTTGAGAATGAACAAAAACCCATTTTTCAAAAGTCGCAAAACCACTATTACAACGTTGAAAAAAAAAACAAAAAAAAAAATAGCATTAACACTTACATCTTATCAGCTTCCCAGTTAGTCTGAGACATGCTGACAGAATAAATATTGGTAGGTAACAAGAGAATGGAAGAGTTGGCTGAATGTTTGTGAAACTCAACAGTAACAATTACAAAAGACAGGTTTTTTCGGTGTAGCAGAGAGACAAACACATAAGGAATGAGAAAGAAAAAAAGAACAGAACCAAAAAAAAAAAAAAAAAAAAAAAAAAACTGTGAGAAAGCGAAACGAGAGAGGCACAACACAAAATAGGAAAAAAAAACGGAGAGGATTTAGGAAGAAAATCAAAGATGGTAAGTAACGGGAGCAACGCTTCAAAAGTCTTTAGGCATAATAATAAATACTATTAATATATTATTATAATAATTGACTGTAATTATAACAAGATCAGATAAGACCAAGAAAAATTATGTCAAAACTAAAAATCAGAATTATTCAAATGTTTATGCTTTGTTAGCTTAATGAGAAGAAAAAAAATTAATGCACAAAACTTAGATTCACATTGGAATGACAAGAAGAAGTGATGATTAGTAGTTATTCGTCACCAATCCAGTTCAGTATTGTATTTATTCGATGAATATTTATCATTTTTTATTTATTCATAAATATCTCTAAATATTTGATAAAATATAAAATTTTAAATAGAATGATACTAAATAAATTTATCATTTGCTTACATTTACATAATTAAAGATTTCTATGTCAATATAAAATAAAAAATGTTAAAAAAAATTAATAATAAGGATTAAAAAATTAAAAAATACAAGAGACTAAAAATATTTATCTTAAACTATATAACTAAAAATATTAAAAAATATAAATATAAATATTAAAAATATTTATCTTAAATTATAAAGACTAAAAATAAAAATAAATCAAATATAAAAATTAAAAAAAAATAATTTAAATTTTGATATTTTAAAGTGTAAATACTCGTAAAAATACCCATATATATGAAAATTTAATATTTATATTGCTTTATTATTAAATAAATAAATATTTAATTATCTAAGTTTTATTTGTAGATATTCACGGTACCATTTTCTTTTTCATCCTAAATACAGAGTTTTGCACCATTTTTACATTACTTTTCTGATTTGAATTATGGTGTAATTTGAAAACATGTTCTAAACCAATAAAATACATAACCACTAGCGTTAGTCTAGTGGCTGGGTAAAGAAAGGTTAAAGTAATTAGAAAAATGAGAACTTAGATTCAATCCTCGATCATTCCGATTATCTTTGTAATCTTTCTTATTACTAAAAAAAAACTAATAAAACACATTATTAAGTTTGAAAACATAAAAGTTAGAGCTAGTAGCATTTATTTTAATGAGAAAATCACGCCTTGGATCAGCTTCGAACTTCACTAAATAAATATATTAAAGGTTTGTATAAATAAATTACTAAAATAGAATTTTAATTAAATAAAAACACAAAATCAATTTTAAGAAAATTATTTAAGTTTTATTTTATTTATAGAAATATATCTTTTTCTTAGAGAGTAATGATATATGTATTTTGAATATATTTAAGCACGCGTTATATCATATCGTTATCGTTATATTTATACGATATATACCATTAGTTATTATTTATTTATTTATTTATAGGTGTAGCTTAGCAATACATAAAAATAAAATTATTGTTTTATTTATCATTTTAAAGTAACAACTGTATGTGAAATAAAATAATGTGTATTAAAAAGGTGATGGACCATATGGCATTGCTGGAAGTAGATGGATCTTCTCAGTTCTCATCCTTTATTTGGAATAATTCATCAATATTTAAAATATGGGGAAAAAGAAATGAGTGCAGTGATTGGTGCATATGCTTTTCTAACCAAAATTTAATTGTGTTTTTTTTCTTTCTTTTTTTATTCTTTTCATCTTCCGATGCAAAGTTCTGGAAACTATTTTTTTTTTTTTTTTAGGGGCTTTGGTGAATGAAAGGTGTTGCTCTATCAGCCGGACGCAGATATGTCATAATGGACTGTTTACTTAATTTGCAAATCTGTCCCTTGTTTTATGCCAAATTCTTGGGGAGGCAATTTCTAAAAAAATTAATGACTGAAACGCCCTTTTCTTTGTTTTCACCAAAACTAAGTGAATCATTATTTTTATTTATGTTAAGTACTAGGAGCTCACAAATTAGTGCTGAAAAATGATAATTACAATTTTGTTTCAAAATTACATTTCTTTTCGACGTTATTCGTTAATAACATTGTTAATGAATTCGTGACGTGAAGTGTAACATAGCAAATTTTATTTAAGATTTATATTAATTATAATCATTTTATAATTAATGTTATATGTGGGCTTAAGTAGAAAATGTAGAGTCCTTGGATTAGAAGGATCCTAGGTGTTTAGTGGGTCTTTAGGCCAATTGGTCCAGAGATCTGAGTTAGCCCATTAAGGGATCCTTAATGATGTGTTTGGATGGACAATTTATATAGAGTAATTCATTTATTTGAAGAATTTCAAATTCTTTGAGGTGAAATGTTTTGTTTGGATGAAGAATTTACAAAGAATTTGAAATCCAAGCATTTGTGAAATTCCTTCAAATAGTAGAATTTCAAATTCTCCAAAAAATGAGAGAATTTGAAATTCCTCATATTTGTTTTCTTATTTCACCTATATATTTTATCTTATCTCTTCATTCTTTTAATTATTGGATATTCAAAAATATCTTTAAAATTATTCAATATTATCTAATATTAATTTTTAAAATTTTTAAATATTCAAAAATGGATTAATATTTATTTTTATAAAATTTAATTTTAAAATCTCAATATATAAATATATTTTTAAAACCAATTTTATTATGGTGGAATCAAATTATCATATTTAACCTAACAATTTAAAATTTAAGAAATTTGAATTCACTCATCCAAACAAAATATTTTAAGAATGATAGAAATTGAAATCAAATTAATTCAAATACCAAGAATTTAAAATTCCTTGAATTTGAAAAATTTCTCAGCCAAACACACCATAAGGGAAAAGGGGTTAATAGCTTTGCACCTCATAATACCCTTCTCACAAAAGGCTAAAGAGAGAACATTGAGAGAGAAACTCTCTAAACTGAAACCATTTATTCTTTATTCGGCATTATAGTTGTCTCGAAGTAGCTGAGCTAGGAGACCGAGGTAGGAAAGTGAGAATTGCCTTGGAGTCATACAGAATTGTCGTTCTTCCCTCTACCTCATCAGAGTTCGAATTATTCTAGAGGTAAGGGAAGCTTAGGTTATTTCTTGCAATGTATGATGTGTTGAGATGATTATAGAGTAGTTAGAATGTTATGTGTTAGAAAAAGGGTACAAAAACCCATGAGGGATTTGATTTTCCATGCTTGAAAGTGTTCATGAGAGAAATCTAATGATTTTTTGTAGATTTATGGATGCATGTCAATTATGCTGATGTAAATGTGTTTCTTAGATTTTCTATATATTGTATGTTGCATGGTATGTTGTGGGTCTCCTGTTTTTCAAGTGTTTTAGCCAAAATTGTGTTCCGCCTAAGTGTAAAACTGGTGTCACCTCGGGCACCCTTCAAGTGTCGGTGTGACTTTAAAGAGAGGTCTTTGTCTTACTCATGTCGGGCGCAAGATTGGTGGTGTCGAGCATGAAAAGAAAGAATCATCTCGAGTTGGAATCACGTCGGGTATAGGTGGAATGACACCGGAAATGAAGGGTGTGAGAAGTCTTGGGTTGGTGTAAGGTCGGGCATAGGGAGAGCCACACTAAGCATGAGGTCCTATGGGCTTATGCCTAACTCACATTGGACGCAAGTAGAATAGCGTTGGGCGTGAACGAGACAAAAAGTCGCTCTACCTCAATGGCATTGAGAGACCCTAGAGTGGCATTGAGCACAAGTTGCATGATGAAAATGTGTTGGTTTGAATTAGTTTTCAATTAATTATTGCTTCATGAGTTGTACTAATGATGCTACATGAATGATGAACCTATGAGTTGTATGATGAGATGTTGCATGTTGATGTATATGTTGTTATCGATGTGTATATTTTTTGAGTTGTTGACATGTGGTGAAGATACATGTCTTACCTCTGATATATAAAGACTAGGGAGAGTAAAGTTATTTTTGAAAATAAAATATCCCATCGTGTAGATATTTATTGTGGTGCTCTAAGATCCTAGTTCAAACTCTTTAATAAGTAAGTTGGCTCCTAAATGGGGTATTATTTTAAGTAGTCTCCTTTAAGTTTTATTCGATATTCGTATGTAGACAAGGTTGACATATGTGTATGAAGTAACCATAGTATAGTGGTCAGGTCGAGCTATACTAATTACAAGTGACCAACCGAGTAAAGCATTGAGTCGAGGACTTAATTCCTAATCGAGTATCGGAGGGACTAGTACTTGGAGGGTAGATAATGAGCTAATTCCATAAGTGACTTAGTGGTGTAGACTAATGTCATTGTAAGCTCATACCCAAATTGTTCTATCCTAACAATGGTACTAGACTTCCTTATTTAAGTTGTGAACTTGAGAGATCATATTAAGTTGTTAATTGATCTAGTTGAGATAGGTCATGTGTTATGGTTTGGTAGGGCTAAACCACTTAGACTACTCACCTTGTCGCATAAGAGATCTCTTTAGTTGATATGTGTGACGACACATTTGTTGTAATTGTGTATGACGTTGCATGATGCTGGTGTTGCTAAGTTGTATCTGTTGAGTTGTGTATGTTGAAGTAAATGACTATTCCTTAGTTGAGTTAATTGTTGTCTAATATTATTGCATTATATTGATTATATTTCACAAACATACCATTGGATGTTTTCCTTGTGATTGGAACTACTATAATCATACTCAGTATGGGTGCAAGTCAAGATTAGCTGAGTACTTGAGTAGATTGGTGGTGAATCATGTTAGAGATGACTTTATTTTGGGGATCATCACTACAGTAGGGCAATGGCTTTATTTTGTAGATGCTTGACCAAAAGTCTAGGACTTTTATTTGTATTCGGTATCTATTATGTATGCATATTGGACATATGCAATGGATTGGGTTACTATTGTATAATGACTATTACTATTATTATTAATAATACTTAAATTATTTCTGCTACGTTGTTGTTGATCTATGTTAAGTGCAATATTCTATCGGGTCGATACAATAAATTTAATATAGTTGAAGGGTACAACTTTAAAGATAATATATATATATATGTGTGTGTGTGTGTGCGTGTGTGTGACGCACGCCCCCACGCATGTCTTGAGTAATGGATCTTTTACTCTTTCTAAATATATAATTTTGAATTTAATGTTTCTAATTTCTCAAT